GTGGGGCTGCGTTGGTGCCGCAGCGCCGGGAGCTTCTATTCCCGGCTGTGTGTGGGAGAGAGCTGCCTGGTGACAGCAGCTCCCTTTCTGGGTCCTCTCCCCGCTGCTGCGCTCGATGCTGTTTGCTGCCTCAGTTTCCCTCTTGGCTCAAGCAAGACCCCCTGGATGCATGCCCAGGGATGATGACCGAGGGGGATGCATGACCTGGGGTGGGGGGGATGCACGACCCGTGGCCTTTGGTACCTGGGCCAACATGGCTTGTTAGCCCAAGAGCATCACGGCCTCGGCCCCGGGATGCCACCATGACCCCATGCCGGAGGGGCTTTACCAGCTCCAGCCCCGCCAGTCGCCCCCCCCCGGGGCTGTGCCCGTGAATAACCGAGGCGGTGGCTGCCTCCCCCGTGCTAACCCAGTTTCTCAAGCGTGAAGACGCCCGCAGAGCGGCTGCTACCTGCGCCCGGGGGCTGCTCGGGTGCCTGAACCGGTCGTGGCACCCACCGTGGGCTCAGCCCCCCCTGCCATGAGCCCAGCACCCAGGGGTACCCAGAGGGAGGGAGGGAGGAGTTTGGAAACGCACGTATCCTGCATCAGCCAGGCACCACGCACCAGCTCTTGCACCCTTGCATGCACCCACCCAAAGTCAAGCCCAGACATGCTTGCCAGAGCCCCCCATGTGCCTGCCAGCCCTGCAGGGTCACCCCTCATCCCGGCGATGCCTTTCAGAGCCAGGCAGCTGCCCGTCCCCTGCCAGGGGGGGCTGCAGGGGGACCCCTGGGGTGCAGGGGCAGAGGGGAGCAGGGCCGGAGCCTCCTTCGGCCTCACCGAGTGATGGAGGATGTGCAGGAGCCTCCTTCGGCCTCACCGAGCGATGGAGGATGTGCAGGAGCCTCCTTCGGCCTCACCGAGCGATGGAGGATGTGCAGGAGCCTCCTTCGGCCTCACCGAGCGATGGAGGATGTGCAGGAGCCTCCTTCGGCCTCACCGAGTGATGGAGGATGTGCAGGAGCCTCCTTCGGCCTCACCGAGTGATGGAGGATGTGCAGGAGCCTCCTTCGGCCTCACCGAGCGATGGAGGATGTGCAGGAGCCTCCTTTGGCTTCACCGAGCGATGGAGGATGTGCAGGAGCCTCCTTCGGCCTCGCTGCCCCATGGGATGGGGGCAAGGAGCCTTCCCACAGCCCCAGGGGGGGATCAGCCCCTGTGCCAGGAAGCTGCCAGACCCAAAATTGCTTGTGCTGTCCCATCGCAGGGCTGCGGGGTTTGCAGGGGACACAGCCCCGGAGGAGCCCGCTGACAGCAGACCTGCGAGGGCTGGGCTGGATGTGCCTCAGGGGACACCCAGCCCTGGGGGACACCCAGCCCCTGCCACCCCAGTGATGCCCCCAGTCCAGCTGATGGGAGTGCTCCATCAGGACTGGGACCCTGTGGGGTGCAAGGACCACGGGGATGGGGGGGGTGGGGGCTGGCACCCATCACCAGGGTGGTTTCTCTGGGGTCATGGCTCTGGGGAGCTGCCCTTGCTGGCTGCACAGACACACCCCCCC